AATAATAATAATATCTCTACTCCTCATTCTAACTACGAGAATTAGCCCAGAAGTCGGAGACTTGTGCGGGAGAGGAGGCGGCATATTATTATTACGCAGGCCGCATTTGCGCCCAGGAACGACTTATGTTGGTAGGCCCTAACCACCATTCAGTGCAGGAATGAGGGAAACCTGGAAAACCTCATTAATTAGGGGGGTGGTCAAATGCCAACCGGTGTCAATCTCTCACATTGACCCAAGCCAACATTCTTCCACCCTACCATACCTGCACAGAGGGTGCCAATCCTCCATACAAGCATAGCTAATCTACGGTCTACCGACCTACAATTCAAAACGTTTTGATTATAATTATGATCGAATCAACTGAATAAATCCCTATTCCTTTAAAACCACTTTTATTTATGTCATGAAACAGCAGTTTCCAAATTGTCTGCATTTCAATGAAATCGTATTCAAAATTTTAAGAGAAAGAATATTGGAACAAAGGTACTCTATATTAATCGAACATCAACCCAATATACGAATTTTAAAAAACATCTCAGCAGTTCCCAAGCATTTTGCCTCTCAAAGAAAACACACACAAAGGAAAGTTGTATTAGTCAACAACTTAGGGATTCTTACGATCGTCAAACGTTTGGGAACCAGCAGTTCCCAAACTTTTTGTTTCTCAAGGAAAATGTGTTCAAAATCCCAGGGGAAGAATATACACACAAAGGCATATAGGTATTCGATACCTTACAAACTTTCAAAGTCATCACATGAACCAGCGGTTCCCAAACCTCTTCAATTTCAGAGAAAAGGTTTTCAATCACCGAGTGAAAAATATATTGATAACGTAACAATATTAGGTACTTACAAATACCTACATTTCAAAACGTTTTGATTATGATCGAATCAACTGAATCAATCCCTATTCCGTTAAAATACTGTAGGACTTTTATTTATGTCATGAAACAGCAGTTCTCAAACTGTCTGCATTTCAATGAAATCGTGTTCAACATTTTAAGAGAAAGATTGTATACCAAAGGTACGCCATATTAATCCAATACCAATCCAATATACGAATTTTAAAAGTCATTCCAGCTGTTCCCAAACATTTTGCCTCTCAAAGAAAACACTCAAAATTTCATGAGAAAGGAACGTTGTATTAGCTCGATACCTTAGGGATTCTTACAATCATTCCATAAACCAACAGTTCCAAAACTTTTTGTTTCTCAAGGAAAATGTGTTCAAAATTCAAGAGGAAGAATATAAGCACAAAGGTATATATTATCTCGATACCTTACGAACTTTTAAAGTCATCACATGAACCAGCAGTCCCAAACTTTTT